TGACTCCTCTTAGGCGTCTCAGAAGAGCTTAGGTTCAGTGAAGGCTGCATCTTGAAGAAAGCCCAGCGGCTCTGTAAGAAGGAGGGAGGGTTGGGGTCGCTAAGGAGTGATGGCCTGGACAGGTGGGTGGGTGAGTGGCAGGTACCTGGCTGTCCAGGCTGAGGAGRTGCTGGGCTGGGCACCGAGGCGGGGGCGGGTCTCGAGGCCTGGACTGAGTTGGCTCGTCTCAATCCTGCAGGGGAGGGAAGGAAACAGCCGTCAGSACTCACAGGCGCACACCTGCGCAAGCGCATGCACACACTCACTCGTGCTCACTGCAGGGAGGAGCTTTGAGGAAGCAGCCCTCCTCCCCCAGCTCTCCCTGCCCCTGCCCGGGCCTCCTGGGTATTTTCTCTYTCCAACACTGAGCCCCTGCAGGTGAATCCCAGCTGCAGCATGGGTGTTAAAAGGCACAGGTTTGTGRTTATGTTTCTGCTGGTGACTTAACACAAGTGACCTGTTCCCTTGGGCCTCAACTTTGACATCTGTMGAATGGGGATTACAGCCCCCACTGCATGGGGCGGTGATGAGAGCACAAAGATCCAATCCAGGCACAGTGCTGGAAGGGATGCTTGGCCTACAGGCTACACTCAACGCATGTCAGAGTTGATATTATTTCATTATTATTGAAATACTGCCATCACGTGGACCTGTCTTTGCATTCCAGCCTTTAYCTTTATAAGCTGTGTGACCCTGGGCTCCTTGCTCAGCTTCTCTGAACCTCAGATGCCTCATAGAATTGACAGCTCTACTGACCTTACAATAATCATGAATTAATATTTACTCAGTACATACCATGTGCCARGGACTTTACATATGAGCATTCAATTAATCTCTACACTAATAATCCCATGAGGCGAGTGCTTTGTGGTCGCCATTATACAGGTGGGAAAACTGAGGCATAGGGAGCTAAGGAGCTCACCCAATGTCTCATGGTTGGTTAGCAACAGTGCCAGGGTTTGAACTCAGGAAGCTGGTGTTGAGTCTGAGTCTGAGACTCTTGGATGGGGCTGGCAGGGGTCTGAGAGAAGCAGGTCCTGGCGCCAGCATGCGTGACATTTCAGGAAGAAATCCCTAGACTCTTATCTCATGGTCTGGATCATACCTTTCCTGAATTCAGATCAGCTCTTTTTTTCTGGACAGATGCTCATGACAGAGGGCATCTTGCTAGCAYTGCCCAACCTTACAAACCACCAAGTCTTGTCCTGCATCCTACATTAGCACCACTGTTTGTTTTGCTCTTTTGTGTTCTTGTATTTATTCAGTTGTGCATCAGCAAATGTTCATTGAACATCCCCAGAGTGCCCAGCCCTCTGCAGAGATGGGCAGCACAGCTGTCTATTACCTCTAGGAGGGTGCAGCCTGGTCAAGGAAGGAGATGGACACTGAGTCCATGAGAAAAATAGCAGCCAGAATTCTCTGGSGGCTTCCAGTACACCAGACCCTGAGCTGCTCAATGCTGCATGTGGCACTAGGGTCCCCGATCTGCAATTGAGGACCTTTCTGTGTTTTAACCTTGCATCCTGTGTGCTGACAATATTCTCTCACTAGTTCTGATTGTCACAATAGGTTCCTTCAGGAGTGTCTCATGTGATCTGAAATAGAAACTGTTTTGCTTCTTCCTTTCTAAACTTTCTGCCTCATATTTTTTTCCTGTCATATTGYGATGGCTGAGATCGCCAGTGCAGTGTTGAATAGGAAGGGTTGAGAAGGGAAGATGGCAATAGTAATGAAGCTCATCTCACAAGGTTGTTGTGAGGACTCAATGAACATGACAAGGGCTTACTTGGGTGTCTAGCTTTTGGAGTGCTCCATAAATGTTTGCCATCATTAGAACAGTAGGTGCTCAATAAGTGTTGGGTGGACGAATTAATATCTTGTGAATTACTGGTTATTCAGCTGGAAGTGAGGGCAGAAGGATAATCTTAAGGGGAGGAAGGAAACTTGAGAATTTTATTCTGGAGTCCCAGAAGACAAAAATGGTAGCCTGGGACAGAAAGAGAACAATTGGCTGTGGGCAATGGAATGGGGAAGCCATTTAGCTCCAGTGCAAGGTAACACTATTTCTCAAGTTCAACCTCTTTTTTTCTTGGAATAGGAAGCCCTGCATGGACTGGCTCTGGGATATCTCCAAGGGAGGGCTGTGGTCTAGAGTAGTTCAGGTTGTGCACTGTCCAATTTTAGGAGGGGCACCTCTATCACCCCTCCACATTATGGACTCATGGACCACTGTTAGCCTGGCCATGCTTTATCTCTGTACCTTTGCACACGCTGTTCCTCTACCTGGAATGTATTACCCCACCCACCCCCACCACACACATACACTGAATGTGCTGTACCTAATTTATTTATTTTCTTGATATAGTTCTCCCTTAGAAACCAGCTTGTCTGTGGAGTCTTTCTAGAACTCCAAAAATAGGGTTAGATGTTCTGGGTTTCCAGGTCCCTCACAGTGTTCTTTTGGGGGCTTCCTCTGGCAATGCATATACAGAACACCTTGAACACTCAGCTAATGTGAGTGATAACCCATCCTCCTTAGTCTTGGCTCCTCTGTTACGGCGGTTATAAGTCTCTCTTGCTATTTATGGGTTATGTTGCTTTTCCTTCTGTTGGAGTGTGAGCTCCTAAGGGCTGGGACCAGGTCTACATGATACCTTTATCTCCAGCACTTAATACCAGGCTTAGGGTATAGTAGGTGCTTAATAAATAGTCATGGAGCCCGGCATGGTGGCGCACCCCTAAAATCCCAGTGGCTCTGGAGGCTGAGGCAGGAGGATCTTGAGTTCAAAGTCAGCCTCAGCAAAGGCCAGGTGCTGATCAACTCAGTGAAACACTATCTCTACATAAAATACAAAATAGGGCTTAGGTGTGGCTCAGTGGTTGAGGGCCCCTGAGTTCAATCCATGGTACCCAAATAAATAAATAAATAATTTATTGGAATGAGCCATGTTGAATGACAGGGGCTCTTTAGGAGATCCTGTTATGAAGAGTATAGCAGAGGGGCATCAAGTCCCTCTCAGAGAACCACTGGAGGGGTTTCCACACTGTGTCAAGGGTGGATCCTGAGACTCCAGGGTTAAGCTCTGGAACAAAAGAGTCTCAATGGCAATTTGTTCCCTGGAGCTATTCTCCACTCTGCCAGCCAGTGGGAGCTACAGAGCAGCTAGCGGCAGAGGCTCTGCATGGGAACTGCTTGGGTTCTGATACCAGACAAGCCATGACTTTTATGYGACTCTGGGCAAGATTTCTTTATGAGCTTCTTTTCCATATCTGTTAGGTGAGGGTGACTGGTACAGTTGACAGGGCTAAACACCTGCAGAGTTTGATCACATGCCTGGTGCAGGGTCGGATCTCAGGACCCTCGAGTTGTGATACTAACTGTGCATTCAAGTCTGCAAATCTTGAACAGCCTACAATCAACCGGGAATCTTGGTGCAGCTAGAAAACAAGGAGAAAGAGCTCAAATCGTAGTTGTGCTCAATAAATATTTGCAAACTTGAGTTAATGGAGAGAGACCCACGTTGGTGTGAATCGGACCAGGGAGGGAGACGATGGCTAGTGCTGCCTCCCGGCCCCGTCTCTGGGAATTCAGGGCAGGGAGTGGTTAGCTCAGCTACAGGTGGAGCAGGAGGAATCCCAAAGCGCCATCCACCCAGAGGACATTACATTGACTCCTGAGGGACAGGAGCTCTAAGTCCAGCTCAGAATTGTCCTGGGAGTGTCTGTAGCCCCAGAGGCAAAATGATATAGAGATGAAAAGGATAGGATTRGATATACAAAAATTAGCTCAAAATGGACCAGAGACTCAAAGGCAAAAGCTAAAATTCTRAAATTCTTAGAAGAAAACTCAAAGGGAATCTCCACCACTGTGATTTCTTCGCTATGACACTAAAACTACAGGAAGCAGAAGAAAAAGTAGATAGATTGGACTTCATTAAAAACAACAAACAATCTTCTGTGCATCAAATGGAAAGTGAATAAGCAACCCGTGGAATGGGTGAAGGTATTTACAAATGGTGTATCTGATGAGGCATCCATATCCAGAATCCATGAAGAGCTCCTACAGCACAACAGTCCCCACCCCGTGATTTAGAAAATGTGCCAAAGACCAAAATAGATGTTTCTCGGAAGGAGACATACAGAGGGCCGATGAGCACATGAAAAGACGTGTGGTGTSACTCATCTTAGGGAAATGCAACCCAAATCTGCAATACCACAATGAGCCCTTCACACTCTAGGAAGGCTACTACTTAACAACCAGACAAAACAACAAAGAGAAACCAAGAAAAACCAGAAAATCACAAGCATCAGAGAGGATGTACTGAAACTGAGACCCTGTGCACTATTGGAAGAAATGCAAAAGTAGTGCAGACACTGTGGAGAATAGCACAGCGGGTCCTCAAAAAATTAAACATAGAATTGTCAYTMGATGTGGCAATTCTACTTGTAGGTATATCCCCAAGAGACTCAAACAGGTATTTGCATGCCGTGCTCAGCAGCACTATTCACAACCCCAACGCCCACTGACGGATGGATGGATAAATAAAATATGGCATATCCATGCAACAGAATATTATACAACCTTGAAAAGGAAGGGAATCCAGATTCATGTTACAACTTGTGTRAACTGTGAATATGTTACAGTAAGTGAAATAAGCTACATACAAAAAGACGGATATTGTATGATTCCACTTACATGTGGTATCTAGAATAGTCAAATCCCTAGAAAAAAGAGTCAAGGTCACCAGGGACAGAAAATAGGCAAAATGAGAAGCTACTGTTGAATGGACACAAAATTTCAGTTTGGAATGATGAAGAAGCTCTGGAATGGAYGGTGGTGATGGTTGCACCACAGTGTACTTTCTGTCACTGAACTGTGCATGAAAAAAAATTTGAAATAGCAAATGATACTTCTAATGAAACACATAGTTTTAATATATTTTACAAAAATATAGAAGACATTGTAATAGAAATTTTACCTCTTGCAGAAAAAACAAAAAAGGATAGGCTTTTGTGGTGAGATGTGGGCTGAATTGTCATTTTAACCAGTCATGGGTAATGTGCCCCAGGGAACATCTCACAGCTGGATCTGGGCTTGTGGCAAGGGTTAATTGGGATGGTTTGGGGGAAAAGCTTGGGATGGCGTCAAGACACAGTAAGCACCCAGTAAGTATTTTGGGATGTTGTGGATCTAGAAATTCATTTTTCTCTGTCCATCTGAGCCACAGGTTCATTGAGGAGTCTGGGAAGCTGATTGTATGTCCCAATTTTGTCACCAAGAAGAAGGGGGCACTGAGGTGCTATATGCCATGAGCCCCAATTTGGGAAGTAAAGACCCAAACTCCACATGGGACCTCAACATTCAGCCTGTCCGACTTAGATCCAGGCTCAGCTGAGGTCTCAGACAGGCACATATGGAACATAGATGTCCCCAACCTATTTGGCATTTTCTTTAAAATCTAGGGTCAGAGGACTCTCCCCAGTGGGCTCCCCTGCTGTGTAAATCTGCCCCTGGTGGACCCAGAGGTACCAGGCTAGACGACGGCACCTGTGATGACATCCTGGTCCTGCTGACCCACCCCATCCTCACAGGGAGCAGAGGCCACGTGCCCAGRGAAGGGAGAGCTTGGGAGGGTCTTGAGAGTGAAGCATCTTTACTTTTCTCAAAGCCAAGGAGTATTTTCCTACAGATATTTTTTTTTTWAAAAAAAACAAGGCAAAAGGGACTGGGGATATGGCTTAATTGGTAGAGTACTTGCCTCCCATGCACAAGACCCTGGGTTCAATCCCCAGCACCACACACACACACACACAAAAGCAAAAAATCATGTTTTTCTTACATATGATGTTAGGGTAAGAAATGGACACAACCCAAATCATGGATGTCCAGAACTTGAATTGGTCATGATCCTGTGTTTCCTCCAGCCCAGACTAGGATCAGCATTTAGAAGAGTCCATGGTGTATAGTAGGTGCTTAATAAACACAGCATGAACAAATGAAGAAAACACACTGTCCTCTGCATTCTTTCCAGTTCTCCTCATTCAGGGGCATAACTGGGTTTCCCCATCTTGCTTACCYGCTGGGCTGCGGCTGGCGTCTCCAGCTCCCCCACCTTGACCATGGTCCCAGCTCTCTGGATCCCGGGTAGATGAACTCATGCGGGCCTCSGAGGCCCTGCGCACAGGAGGCCCATAGCTTCCTCTCCCAGGAGCAGATGCTGGGTCAGGTCCTGGAAGGAAAAGCATTGAMTAGATAAAGGGCAACAGAGGAACAGGGTAAAAGGACTCCTGTCCAAAATTGCAAGGCAGGCGGCAGAACCCACCTGTTTTGGGACCCGGGCCCCTCCTGTCTTCAGTGTCAGCTGGAGGGAGAGAAATAATAAGGGAGCATGATTTTCTGGTGTCTGGAGAGCGATAACTGAAGAAGCCCTCAAAGGGGTTCCTTCACCTCTCCCAGGACATGGAAAAACTCTAAAACGTCTCCCTGCGGTTTCCCCTCKGATCTAGTTCTTCTTTACCATGTGAAATTGTTTTCTTGGCTCATGCAAGTACACAYGAACACACAGAGAGGCTTAAAAAAGAACAGTCAGGCTGCACAATCTGGCYGCACGGAGGGAGCAGGGCTTGCTCTGCCAACAGGATGACCCAGTGGTGGAGACTGGGCYGCAGCCTCTGCTGAACTTGGCAATTCCTGTAGGCAGTGGAAGTCCCTCGTGCCTTGCCAGGAAGACAGCATTTGTTGAAAGTCTTTTGGGTGCCGAGCACTGAGCAGGTACCTGAGGAGGCCGTCCTGTGGGAGTTGCAGGTGGATGCTGTAATTTTTGAGACCTTCAATTAGGACGGTCCTTCCAGAAACTCGGCTGCACTCCTCCCCAGAGCGGCCATTACGGCCAGATTTTATCACTTGGTGTTAATTGAAATTATTGCGAGGGCCTTGTTGGGGCAGCCTGAGTGGCCTAATCCAATTAAGATAAGTGTGTTTTTATTGAGGCTGCCTTTTTCTGGATTCTTTTAGTCTTCACTTTAATATTTAATAATAATACTCGGATCAGAGCGATACCATCAATAGTAGTGATAATTTTCTTTTTACTAATTTCCTTTCTATTCATCTTTCACTTTTAATTTGTCCAATTTCACATTTGCTTAGGGCTGAGAGAAGGAATGGGAAGGGCTGGAAAGGCCTTCCCCACAACATCCCCACCCCACCCCCATCTCCACCCCTACCCCCATCCCCACCCCCACCCCCACCCCCAATCCCCACCCCCACCCCAGGGCTCCAGTGTGTCTCTCTCAGTTCCTAATTTTAACTTCCCCTTCTTTGATACCTCTACACATCCCACCARGAACAGGAACGATAGTAAAGCTTTTTGGCAGCCTGGCTTCTCTGGAGAGTTCCCTGATCTGCCACCAACCCAGTGGAAACCAGCCCACCGTAGGGACAACTCCAGGTAGACCAGTTGGCCGGGAGCTGTCCGTGGTGCTGAAAGAGCCCTGGGTCTTACCTCGGGCTGGAACACGGGCGGTGTGCTTGGGCTCAGGAGGCTGCTCTGGGGCGGCAGGCTCACTCGCAGGAGGCTGGGGCTTGCTCTTCTTTATGGGCATGGGCTGTGGGAGGAGCTGCTTGGGGAAGCCCTTGAAGAACCAGGCTCCAGARCGCTTCCACACCTGGGGAGGGAGGAGGAGCTGTGGCCACCGCTCTCGCCTTCATGGACCAATTTCAAAATCTTTTTGCTCTGGGTCCACGGCACGTGGACACAATGGCAGTCACATTTATTGACTCCACACGCCAGCCCTGAAAACTCAATCCAAAGGGTCTGATGAGACCCGTTTCACAGATGGAGAAATGGAAGGTCAGAAATGTTATGGGTTGTCCCAACAGTGCAGAGCCTGGGAGTGGAAAGGTGAGGGCTTGGCGTCAAGCCGTCCATCTGCACTCCTGGGAGACAGGGTGATCTGCCCACAGCTGACCCAAGACCTCTCGCCTTTGACCTGCCCTGTGGGTTAGGGCCAGACAGGATGGCACACTGAACATCTCATGTCGATCCTTTTCCACCCCACTTTGTGCCCCAGAGGGCTGCCCAGTGCAGACAGGAGTAAGTGGGCTTCGGTGACCTCTGTCTTCAGCAGGGGTTGGCAGGACATTTAGGCCACGCTATGTGTTTCTTTGGTTCCCTCCCTGCTGGCTGGACAGTGGTTGGTTCCTGTCTTCCCATCTGCCAACTGCTCCCTCCCTAGCCGGTTGGTCCCAGGAGTGGTCACAGCAGGCCAGTGGTGCACGGGACACTTCCCTGCCACCGACTCCCCTCCACCCTGCCCTGCTCTGTGGAAAGGGCACCTTATGGAACTCTCCTCGATTGCCCTGCTGGAGAGTGCCCACTGCGTCCTGCCGGGCCCCTGGCTGCTACTGATGGGGACATGGTCATTGGGACAGTCTCAGAGGCAAGGATCTGTAGCAGGGGATGAGCGGAGAAGAAACGGGGGGGAGGAGAAAGCATTGCACTGAGATAAAATGAATAATAAAAAGCAGGTCTGGGAGGGAGGGAGGGAGGGAGAGAGAGAGAGAGAGAGAGAGAGAGAGAGGGAGGAAGGAGAGACGGCAGAGGGAAGAAACCATGGACACAGGACCAGGGGGAGAAATGCCTCAAATGAAGGGGAAACTTGGAGGAAAGAAAAATGGAGGAGACTTAGGAAAAAAGGAAAGAGAAACAGCAGATGTTGGAAGAGGGAAAACCCAGAATGTGAGAGACAGATGAGGGGAGAATGGCAACCAGAGGGTTGAGGATGGAGAGGGAGGGGGGGAGGGAAGGCAAAGTCTCAGGCGCCAGGTGAGGAGACAAGAAGTTCATCCAAACACCCAGAGGCCGTCCTGCCAGTTCACAGCTGGCCGAGCTGATCCCCTTCAAAGTTAAGGCCCAAGACCCACCCAGAACGCCCAGCCTCCAGCCCTCCAGTCTCCCTGATCCCAGGGAGGAGAAGGGGGCGGGCAAAGGGAAAGGACCACTCACCTCTCTCTGCTCCATGCAGATCTTACAGAGCCACACAGGGTGCGGGCGGTTGTTGGAGGTCTCCACCCCACACTTGGTGCAGACGTTCTGGGGACAAAAGAGCCCAACCAGCACTCAGGCGAGCCATGCCCTGAGCTGCTGGGGATGGGGAAGGGTCTGGGAGGGGCGGAGATCTAGAACTCTCCTTCCTTCGTACCCTTTCTTCCATGGTCAAGGTCCATTAGAATCAAGTGCCAATTTGAGTCTTATTTCCAATAATGAGCACTGGAGTCATTCCCAAGCCCAGGAGGAAGGAATTCTCCAGGGGTCCATTAGGGACAGTTTTCAGTAACTATGCAGCATTGACATGATTTTTAAGAGGAAAGACCATATACCCATTTTCTTCTTTCTTCCTTCAAAGGATCCAGGGCAACCTTGGCAATGACCAGTTCAACTCTCCATGGAGAAGGAGGCTACCTGACTACAGGCCATGTCTGTGGGGTGGAACACTATGTTTGGGGTTGAATTTCTTGACAGCCAAACAGCAAGGAAAACCTGATAAGTCACACGATTCTTCTTCTCTGGTTGGCTGAGTCAAGATAAGTTTTTCAGAATAGATAAGCTTTCCCCAGTATTCCAAGTTAATTACTTAATGGGATACCACGCAGAAGGGACCGAGGGGCATCACGAATGTCCTCCTTCTGGAGACATTAATTGGAATCGCCTTGATCATCATCAAATAGATCTAAAGACAGGGCTATCTCTGGCCTGGCATTGTCAAGTGCAGACAGTTTGGGGCAAAGGGCGGAGGGGGAAGACAGCTCAGAGAGATTTCCCTTTGAGGAAAAATGGTCTCAGAGCCCAATAGCTCTAAGTTGCCTGCACAGGGGATTTCTGAGTCTCCTTTACCCATAACCCCAGGTGAGAGGATGCTGGCTCTCCACACATGCGTGTGTGCACGTGTGCCCGGCACGCTCTTTAGCTGACAAGCGACTCACGGGGACACAGCCAAGTCTATCCTGTATGGAGCTGAGCTCTAAGGGGTCATCAGGGGAGGAAGTGAGATCAGGATGACCTTGGGAGACACTTGGGCATGAGAGCATCGCAGGGGAATTCCTATTTTGCAGGATTCAAGCTCCATCCCCGAGACCCAAGGCCCCCAGAGCCAGCGCTGAGCAAGAAAGGAGGGGAGTGGGCGAGGTACCTTCTTACAGTCCTCACACACGACACAGGCCGAGCCCAGCATCCCCAGCTGCTCTCCGCACAGTATGCAGCGGTTCACCCCGTCCCCGGCCACGCTCTTCCTCATGTTCTCCAGTCGGTCCACCAGGCGCCTGGAAGCAGAGACAAGGCACTAAGGACCTCACAGGACCAGGGCCCATGCGCATACCCTTCAGGGCCATCTGCTCTGGAGCTTCTGACCATGGCTGTGGACCCTTCTCCAGAGAAGTGCACATGTGTGCAAACTTCTAATACCTTCTCAGAACCACCAAAGACTGGCTCAAAGCTCACACCCCCAACAGCGGTTCTATCGACTTACCATGAAGAACCTGCAGTGGCCCTCTCCATCTCAAGTTGCCTTCTCCTGAGGAACTGCCTTCCGAGCTCCAGCCCTGTGACCCAACTATCCGTATGACGTCACCTGGATCTGACACTCATGCTTTCAAACCAAACTTGACATCTTGGAGGCTCTCCATCTCTGTCCCTATCCCCAGCAACCTGATCCCCATGCTCAGGAGATGATGTGGCCACAGGTTAACTAGCTCAAACCAGAAGGCTTGGGGTCTTCCTGGACCCCCGGCTCCCCCGACATTCAACGATCCAGTCCAATCACCAATTGCTATGTGTCCACCTCTGACTCTTCTGGATTCTGTCCATTCCTCTCTGTCTTCACCTCAACCCAGCCACTGCCATCTCTCTTCTGGATGACTGAGTAGCCTCCTCCCAGGCTTCCTGCTGCCACCCATGTCCTTCCACCACCTGCTCTGCCCCCCACTGCCATGTTGACATTCCTCAAACAAGCTGGATCCAGTCACCCCCAGCCCCCGGTGCCTCGTTGTGCCTTGCAGCTCCTGTGGCCCTACGTGGGAAACCTTGAACCTCTTCTTCTCCTGGTCTTGCCTGACTGTCCCCATGCAGCAGGTCTCCAAGCATCGTCATAGACCAGCAGCATGACCGACACCCAGGAACTTATGAGATGTGTGCCTTCTTGGGTCCCAGCCCAGCTGAAGCCAAAATTCTAGAGGTGGGCCCAGCAATCTAGGTTTGCAAGCCCTCYGGGTGGCTCTGGTGCAACTTCAGGGGAGAGAGCAGCGTCTCTGGTTACACCAGCTTTCCTCCAGTTCCTGTTGTCCCCTGTGCTTTCACACGCTCTGTCACCCGTGCCTGGAATGCACCCCCAGGCACGTGCCTGTGACCTCTTTTTCTGTAACACACACCCCCTTGTGTTCTCCCTGCGTGGGTCCCCTCCTCCTTCAGGATCCATTACTCCCCTGAAGCCTCTTTCCACCTACTGTCCTTGCAGGAAGAGTGACCGGTACTTCCCCGGGGCACCTGTCACATTTATAAGTAGCTACGAGATCATCTGCATTAAGCTCTTAGCTGATGGTGAAACCAACGCTGCTCTCCCCCGGCCTGGGAGATCCTCTGGGCAGGGACCTGGTCTGCTCTGATCCCTGCTGTGCGCTCAAAGCCACTTCAGCACATCTGGGCACTTGTCTCAGTGACTGGGTAGGTCACGGTAGCTGTCTCGTCATGCTTGTATCCCAGTAAAAGCGAGCGGAACTGCATGTCCTGTGGTGCATAATAACAGCTTACCTGACACAGMAGCACCTGCCCGGCACAGGATGAAGTGCTTTGCCCCCCTCCCCAGGAGTTCAGCACTACTATTATGCCATTTTTCACAGGAGGGAAGGGAGGCACAGGGATTTTAAGTGACTTGCTCAAGACCATACAGTTGGGAACCGGCAGAATCAAAACCAGAAACCAAGTCTGGGGTAGGTGACATTAGATCTTGCCAAATGTAATATGCACACAGGTGACAGGGGGCCTCGGCGAATTACAGATTCTGAACCACCAGGCTTCTGAGGTGCTGCTTTTCTAGAAAGCTCTAAAGTGGTGCTGCTGCTGGTCCCAGGGTCCCTGAGTAACAAGGCCACGTGGCTGTGTGAGATGACCTGGGCCTGGCCATCCTGTTTTGGGGGTTTTTAAGCATCACCAAGCTGGAGCCCTCTCCTTGCCCTGCCCTCAAATGAGCACTTACTGCCTCAGTGCAGTCACAGCCAGTGGACCCTGATGGAGAAGACCGGCCACCCTTCCACACTCTGGGTCTCACTGGACACTGGGCATGTGAGAAGCCATGGGAGGGGCTTAGGTGTCATAGACAGCCCCTCCAGTGCTCCGACCTCAGTGTTATCAACAGCAACTGCTCTTAGTGCTGTATCCAGGACAGGAGCCACTCTGTCCAGGAGGAGCCCTGGCTGCAGGTCCCAGAGCCTCCCCGGGAACCCAGGTCGGAGGAACTGGGCCGGAGGCAGGAGGTGCAGAGCTGAAGGCAGCAGCCTCCCCAGCTCCTCCTCACCTCCTGCCCTCGCTGGCTCCTCCCTGGACTCACAGGTCACTAACTAGGACCAGGTTGAGAGATAAGGACTCTGTGCTGATTTTCTTAACCAATCCTTCCAGCCATCTTAGGAGTCAAGGACTATGGACTCTTCTTGGCCTTACCATGGCGCAAAACAGGACACCTTAGTAGGAGCTGCGCTTTGAAGTCTGAAGTCTGATCTGCTGCCAGCCCCACCATCACGAGGGGAAACGGCCCGTATCCACGGCATGGCTGTGTGGCTAAGCTGTGCYGAGCCACGGGCCGGGTGTGTTCTATGCATTCTCGACCTATAATCATTTCGACGGGGAGCACCCTGTTTTATTAAATGAGAAAACTGCGGCACAGATGGGTTAAGCAATTTGCCTAAGTCACACAGCTAAGAAGTGGTAAAAGCCAATTTTCAGAACCAGGCGGTCTGGCTGCCGAGTTCCCATTCGAACTACTTCTCCACACAGCCGCAGGCCAGGAACAGCCCTGGAGGTCCCCTCGAGCTGTCCCTTCTCTGCCCTGGTTGATAACCCTGCCTTTCCCACCCTAAGGGACCCTCAGTGATTGGCAAGTACCCAGTTGCACATTCTCTGGGTTGTCATCCCAGCTGCTTCTGTCCCCTGCAACTGGGACAAGAAACCCAACTGCTGCCTGTCCCTCCTTCTGCTTCCCTAAATAACCATCTAGAAACCTGGATTTTCATCCTGGGTTTCGCCTGCTAGGGTTTCAGCCTCCCCTGGGAAACAGGAGGCATCGGGCTACATCAGTGCTTCTCCAGCGGTGCTTCTTGGCCCCACAGGGGACCTGTAGAGCCAGTTCAGGGCTGTTCCCAGTGATGGCCTGGTGGAAGATCGCGAGTGGCCACCATGATCCATTTCACTGGAGCATGTCTGCATTGATCTGTCCTGCCTGTCTGCGCTCTTCAACTGGGTCTCCTTTGCAAAGCTGCTTCCAGGGTTTAAAAACAATTTGAAGAAGCCGGGAGTAGATAAATTTCAGGAAGCCTTTCAATGCCATTGATTTATAAAATATTATGAGACCATGAATTAGGTTTGAAGGACAGGGATAAGTGCCCTGGTGACATTTACTTGTCCACCGTCTTGTCTCCATCGCTCATCTCCACCCACTTGCCTAGCAAGAAAATAGATCTCGCTCTTCTACCCTTATTGGTGCCGGAGCACAGAGGAAGGGCGAGGCTTGCCGGGGGTCACACAGCCAGGCTGGGAGCTGGTTCTCTGCTTCAGGAGACTATGGTCATGTTCCACAAAGCCCTGGTGGCTCCCTGCCTCGTGGCCAGCTTTGCTGGGGCCTCGTGGGAAGATAATATGTAATAGAGGATCCCGTTCTAAACTGCAGAGCACTTGCTTAGGGCAGCCAAAGGGTCTCTTGCCTCTTCCTGAACAACAAAGGCTATTGATTTACATGCCATTTGCAAACCTACAGGAAACCCTGCCCCTTCCCGCCCAATCCTACAGGCCCCATTAGCACTCCTGGTCTGATCAGAGACTGCAGATGGCACCCAAAGCCCCCAGATCTGAGACCATTATCCCGTTGTCCCAGCTTGTGGCCTGGTTATTTGTGGATTCAGGACCAATAAAGAGGATGGGCGGGAGGCACAGATGGCCAAAGACGGGGAGTGAGCAGGGAGCTTCCTGAAGCCTGCTTGTTGGGACCCCCTCTCTGCACCCTCAAATGCTAGGGACACAGATGCTAAGCCAAAGAATTTAAACTCAAAAATAAAACTGCAGGAAACTAAATCAAAAGTGTGCCCTAGAAGGACCATGAGGCTACCAAGGGGTTCATATCCTGGAGATAGAGCAGTTTCGTTTGTCATCCCAGAAGAAGTCTTTATTTTTACGTGTCCTGATGGGAGAGCCCTGTTTGTATAAGAGATGCCGTTGACTCTCACTGTGTGTCAGTCACCAGCATCAGACAAATACCAGTGCCCGGGGCTCTGGCTCAATGTCGGGCACAGCTAGACCCATGGGGGGGACAGGGCTCCACACACAGAGGACGAGTCCTTGGGATTGAATGAGGTTTGAGAATCTGCACTGATCTCATTCCGCAGCCGAATCCCTGGCTTCACTTTGAGAAATGCTCTGCTGGGGATGGACGGGGGAGGCAAAGCACGGGGGTGAGCGGGGGACGCTGTCCTGATCATGCTACGTGGGGAAATCTCAAAAACCCAGGAGCAGAATCGTAATCAGGGCGCAAGAGGAGGTGGCAGCACGCTCACCTGAAAGTCTCTACTGTGTGCACTCAACAAACACGAAAACAAGGAAAGAGATGCATGAAACATTCATGGTGATCATCGTCAGGCGCTGGGATTATGTGTTTATTTCTTCTTCGATGCCTGCATCTCCTCTGCCCTCCACATTAAGAGCATCCAATGAGCTGGACTCGTAGACTTTCTTAACTCTCTTATAATCAACATGCATGACCTTGCCTTAGAGAGGAGAGCACATTTGTGAAGGAAAATGTCTGCAGACCAAGTGTTATAAGATGTGGGTCTGATCCTTCGTCTCAGCCAGGGACCTTGGAAGAACTTGGTTCCCTGGGTCCCCCTTTTCCCAGGTTGTGCCAAGAAGCTTAGGTGAGATGCACCTAGGCTTCCTCCAGGGGTGTTAAGTCAGGGCTTTTCAGATCCTGGGGCTGAAACGTCAAAATTTTCTCTTCTTTTTTTGAAACGGAAGGACCCTCAACCATAAGGAGACCAGTCCCTGCAGACAGACTGGTTTTATTTGC